ACAGCAACAGCGGAATCAAAGTAACTGCGAAGAAGTTGATAGCCCAGCGCCAATTAGTATTTCAACCAAGGGAAGCGCACGTGATCGAAGTCAGTACGTGCACTCTGTGCTGAATCCTGTTGAGAATCTATCCCAGTGGAAAGAAGTCAAAGTTGGAGCTTTGCCGTTGAAGGCTCCTGTCAAGGAGAACATCATCGATAAAGAAAACAATAGATCAGGACTAGAAAGCAGGGTGACGGGCTTCAGTCCTCAGCCTAGGAAGCCTAGAGATAGTACCAAAGAGGAGATTTCTGTGGATGCGAGTCTTTCGACTTGGTTAGTTTCATCGGAGGAGAAATCGCCAAAGGGGGCTCAAGGGAGCAATTCTCAGTGGTCAAATTCGTCAGTTAGCAGAGAGGATCAGCCTATTTTGGGGGCTTTAACGGTTGAAGATCTGAAGCATTCATCGGTGACTTCGTCACCGAGGAGATCTCCAAATAAGAATCCTGATGAAATGCCGATACTGGGTACTGTTGGGAGTTATTGGAATAGCAAAGCTCAGTACTCAGAGAGCAAGGGCATTCCGAATACTACAAGCAAGTATAGAGAGGTAATGAGTTTGAGCGCTAGAGGGTATTTAATTTAGGGTTATTTGCGGATAGGTCCCCTAGAATATCGCCAATTTAACTTCCTATCCCGAGTGAAATTTTTGACTCTTTGCAGGGGGTCTATCTGCAACAATAGAACTACATTCAATTTGGTGATAGTACAAGGGGTGGGTCTATGTGCAAGTGACCTTTGAACTTAACTAGTGAGATAAATTTAAAGAGTTCGTTTTGTGCTGGATTGTTGCAGGATAAGAAAGTGAACTGGCATTCTACGCCTTTTGAGGTGAGGCTGGAAAGAGCTCTAAACAAAGGATCCGCTGAAGCTTGCCCGAGATAGGCTCACAAGTACTGGGTCATTGAAGCGTGCTCTTCTGCTGTAGTCTTGTGATCTTTGTATTGTTGTTCATTTTGTAACTACTATAAGTGGAATTATGTGGTAGCTAGTGACAGGTTAAAAGTGTTGTGATTTTACTTGTTGAGAGTTTGTGCAATATTATTTCTTGGGTTGTTCTTGGAGTGTCATTGTGCTCTTAATCACAGTGTTGCTGTTAGTGTCTGTATTGTGAAACACTATAAATGAAAGCTTTGTATTTGTCATTCTTCTTTGTATCCCTGGAACAAATTTCTTAGAAATACAGCTTCAAATGCTTAAATCATGATCAAATCATTACATGTTACAACTTAGTCACCATTCAACATTCTTTTAACGATTGGTATTTCACAAGGGAAGAACTGAGTGACTAGTTACCTAGTCAGTGTGTGTGTGTGTGTGTGTGGGGAAATTGGCGAAGTTTGGCATACCGCTGTTTTTTCCCCCTTGATGCTTCAATCATCGTCGTGAGAGACCTCAGCTCTGTACACATACAACCGGCTAACCACAAGA